ATCAGCAGGTTACAGATTTAGTCCACATTCCAGATCCTTGAGCATATAAACAAAGCTGATAATTCAGTGCAGTACTAAGAAGGTCAGCACACCACAGTCAGCAACAGCATATTTTTCATGACATATTAAGTTGGGGTCATGTATGTTGAGTGCTTCTGAAAGTTGTCATAGCATCCATTGAATAAATGCAGGGTTATTGTCTTGCTCATCATTTATCTATCAACCACTCACTATAGATTGTAATCTATTCTCTCATTGCAACAGCAACTGCACTTCAAAAGTACTTAATTGACTGTGAAGTACTTTGGGTTTAAATGCCAGTTTTTTATTTTACATTGCACTTATACTACTACCTTCACATGGCTATAATTTAAATTTCAAAATGGACAGGTGGAAGATCCCTCATCCTATCAGAGATCTTTCCTCTTGCCCCATCCCCACCTCTCCCTTCTCCTCTAATTCAATACTTGCATGAAATCTGTTACATAGCTAACTTCTTCCAGTGCTGATGAAAGGCCATTGACATGAACTGTGAACTCTGTTTTCCTTTCCATAGATGATGTCTGGCCCATTCGGCATTTCCAGCATTTTCTGTTTTTTGGTCTCATTTTTGTTGTGATATAATGTACATGTACCTAAGGGTACAAATTTTAAACTACCGTCAATCACCGCTACCACACTACCATGACTTGTATTCTAACTATAAGCAGGCAGTAGGAGTCATGATCAGATGTTCTATATCTAACCTCCCAGATAACTCTATCTGTACATGGTCCTACTTTTAAGTAACGAGCCCATATTATTGCCTCACTAATCATTTGTGTGATTGGTGTATTTACATCGAAAAGAAGATTGTAATGATCCTTACATGTTGAACATAGTAGTTTAAATTTCTCATTCATGCCATTGTTTTAGTAGACCAGTAACATATGGGCAACAAATTGTTCAGGGATCAGATCTACTGAAAGCACAATGCAGCAGCAAAGGGTATGCCTCCCTATTTGGACTGGGATATTGTAAAGAAAATCAAATGTAGGAAGTACTTAGAAAATTCCCATGATTTTCCTTGTTTGAATGCCAGACGCAAAGGACAACTCAGGTAATGACTTTAAAGTTCTAAATCCTAACCTAGCAGCAGGGGTCTGAATGACTTAAGGCAATAAGATGATAAGATGACAAAACGTGGGAGCAGAAGTAGGCTATTCAGTCCATCAAGTCTGTTCTGCCATTCAATGAGATCATGGCTGATATAGTAATCCTCAACTCCACTTTCCTGCTTTTCTCCATAACCCTTAACCCTTCCACAGCACCACTAGCAATAGAAATCAAGTTGAGGAGACATCAGTTTTGGGGAATCCACGATTTGATAAGGTTGGACAGTCTTGCCAGACCCACATTTCTTGTTCAGTGGAAGAAGTACTGAGCGAATTAGCCCTACTGAACAATGCCTCAGTGAAGTATTTGACTGGTCACCTCAACTTGATTTATATTGCTTGTGGAGCTCTGAAAGCAGCCAAACACAAAAATTGAGAGCAGTGGTGACTGACTGGGTGCACCAGATTTCCATCCGTGAGGTACTTCGCAGCAGTTTTGCTGATGAAGTAAATTCCTGAAAAGTGTCCAGTCTATTTCAGATTAGCCTGGAAGTGGTAGAAAACTCAACAGTTTGAAGAACAGGTAAAGCAAGTCATCTCATGCTGCTACTTTGCAATAAGCACATGAATATTATTCTCCATAACAGGATGCTGCCATTAAACCAAAAAGATATTCTGCCAACCACACATATGAATACTATGATATATGAGCTTCATTGCTACTGTGATAATCCAAAGAGATTCTACAAGTACATTAACAGCAAAAGAGCAAGTACAGAGAGAATAGGGTCCCTTAAAGATCAGCGATGCTGTCTATATGTGTTGAATCTCAGGTGATGGGAGAGATACTAAATGAGTATTTCACATCAGTTTTTACTATGGAGAAAGAAATGGAGGCTAGAAGACTCAGGAAGATAAATACTGATTTTTTTGAAAACAATTCACATCACAGAAGAGGAAGTGCTGAAGGTCTTAGAAAACGTAAAGGTAGTTAAATCTCGAGGACCTGATTAAGTGTATACCAAGACATTTTGGGAAATTAGGAAAGGAATTGCAGGGCAACTAGCAGAACTATTTGTATCATCTATAACCACAGATAAGGTTCCGGAGGTCTCAAGAGTGACTAATGTTGTGCCTTTATTTAAGAAAGGATGTAAGGAGAAGCCTGGGGACTATAAAATGGTGAGTCTGACATCGGTGGTGGGTAAGTTATTGGAGGTGATTCTGAAAGGTAGGAGTTACATGCATTTGGAGAGGAAAAGGCTGATGAGGGATAGTCAGCATGGTTTTGTGAGAGTGAAATCATGTCTCACAAATGTGATTGAGTTTTTGAGGAGGTAACCAGAAAGAATGATGAGGCCAGGGCAGTAGATGTTGTTTACATGGGCTTTAGTAAAAGCCTTTGACAAGGTTCCACATGGTAGACTAATTCATAAGGTTAGATCACATGGGATTCAGGGAGAGCTTGCCAATTGGATACAAAATTAGCTTGATGGTAGGAGACAGAGAGTGGTGGTGGAAGGTTATTTTTCGGACTGGAGGCCTGTGACTAGCAGTGTTCTACAGGGATCCTTACTGAGTCCACTGTTGTCTATCATCTATATAAACAATTTGGATGAGACTATAAGTGGCATGGTTATTAAGTTTGCGAATGACGCCACATTTGGTGGTATAATGGACAGTGAAGAAAGTTATCTAAGATTACAAAGAAATCTTGACCAACTGGATCAAGGGCTAAGGAGTGGCAGATAGAGTTCAGTTTGGACATGTACAAGGTATTGCATTTTGGTAAAACAGACAAGGGCAGGACTTATACAATTAATGGTAGGGCCCTGGGTAGTGTTCTAGAACAGAGAGACCTAGGGGTTCAGGTTCATGATTTTTTCAAACTTATGTCACAGTAAACAGGGTAGTTAAGAAGGCATTTAGCACACTTGCCTTCATTGCTCAAACCTTTGAGCTTAGGAGCTGGAATGTCATGTTGACGTTGTACAGGATGTTGGTGAGGCCTAATCTGGAGTACTGTGTACAGTTCTGGTCACCCTGTTATAGGAAGAATATTATTAAATTGGAGAGGGTTCAGAGACGATTTACCAGGATGTTGCTGGAAAAGGTGTGTTTGAATTATAAGGAGAGGCTAGATAGGCTGGGACCTTTTTCACTGGGCCATGGAAGTTTGAGCAGTGACCTTGTAGAGGTTTATAAGTCATTGAGGATTAAATAAGGTGAACAGCATGGGTATTTTCCTTAGGGTGGGTGAGTTCAAAACTAGGGGATGTATTTTTATGGTGAGAGGAGAAAGTTTTGGAAAAGACATGAGGGGTGACCTTTTTACACAGGGAGTGGTTCATGTGTGGCATGAACTGCCAGAGAAAACAGTGAATGCAGATAGAGTTGCAACACTTAAAATACATTTGGATAAGTACATAAACAGCAAAGGTTTGGAGGGATATGGGCCAAACACAAGCAAAAGTGACTAGTTTAGCTTGGGAACATGGTTGGAGTGGACTCGTTGGACAGAAGGGTCTGTTTCCATGCTGTATGACTATGCCTTTTCTCACACTTTAAAAAGTGTAGTTTTTTCAGAATTTGATTTTCTTGTGATTTGGTCATGATGAAAAAAAAATACATTAAATAAGAAACCGTTTGACATTATGTCTCTTTTCAGCTGAGCTTAAGACTGGTTTCATGTAATAGAATGCAATGAACTTGAATTGATAGAAATTGTAACAGAATACCACAACAATGACCTGGAAGAGGGATCATTGGAGTTGAACCATTGACTCTGCTTTCTCTACACAAATGCTGTCTGACCTACTGAGTTTCTCCAGCAATTTCTGTAGTTCTTTGTTTTATTTCACCAATGAGGTGGTGTTGGTTTCTTCTGTGTATATGACATTACTGTCACCATAAGAATAGTATTATCAGTCATTAATAAAGCATTAAGTTGGATTAATGAAGTATGACCCATAGTTGTCAAAAATATCACATCTGCAGTCAACATGTCACCTTTCCACTAAGGAACAGGAATACGTTGTTTAGGCATCGCTCAAAGAGGCCTTAAAATTATTTTACAATTCAGTAAAAGGACTATGACATTAAGTTCTTCAAGAAATTGCTATTAGGATTTTGATACAGCGTCACTGACTACATTTATAAATTATACAGTCTGATTTGAATGGGTTTATTTCTTTATTTTAACTAGTAGTAACTTTGCACATTTTTAACCATTTAAATCTCATATCACGCAACAAAATTTTAAAAGTATAGAGAATAATGCTGGCAATGACAAAAGGTGACAGTCATCGCAAATAATGTTACAAACTGCGAATTGAAGATTAAATAATTATTCCCGAATTCTCTGTTACAATTTTTGAATCAATCACGAATATTGTTTAAACATTGCACATTCAAAACATACTCAAACTAGCATTCTTTATTAAAGTCGTTTGTCCGGTTTTGGGCTGTTCGCAAAATAGCATTCATGTCATTGCGGAAGCAAACTCGGAGTGCTGCTAAGTATTCTCATACATCAAAGTTATCATTTCTCAGAATAATTAGAATGAACAGGTAATTGTTTGATGGAACTCTACGTTTATAATTATATGAATATAACTGTTTATAAACTTTTATGGGGCTATTTTCACGGTCACTCTTACGCTTCCTTTGTGGGACTGAAATGAGGACTATGGTTTATTAATACCGAACAGGAGCCTGCTGCATGTTTCATCAAACACTCAGTGCCTGCCAACAAGTAGTTTCATGAAAACGAAGAAATTTAGATTCTGTTTTACATTGCTAAGCATTATTGCATGCCACGTTCTGACGAAACAATCGCCTTTTCTTGAAAATGATCACACGGTTATCTAAATGTGTTTTATTTTTATATGTGAAAATATTCATTACCTCAAAGACAATACCGCCGTGTCCGACTCTATCAGCTTTTCCTACTTGGTCTATTTTCGCCCCGTTCACGACCGAATTGGATCAAGGATCACAGAGAGGTGTAGATCAGACTCGATGTCTGTAATGTGTACATATTGCTGCTTAAAACATCAAGAAGTTTGTTCTACTCATGCTTACCTGTGGACTTGGAACTCGTATCGTCACCTTGGAGAAACCTCGCATCAGGTTTCACTATTGAGGCGAGGCCCTGGCAGCAGATCTATTCGACCTCGGCAACTATAATTTACCTTCCCGTGTCAGCCTCGCAAACTGAAACAAGAAACTATCGAGGGGAAAGATCACTGGGTATCCCCAAATGCACCCAGTCTTCTGTTTTCCCATTATTGTATCGAAATATGTTAACAAAAGAGCCTCTAAGTAACAGTCCTAAGGTTACCAATTCAGGTGCACAAGTCTCAAAACTCTTGCACCCAAGTTGAGCAGGTTACAATGGAGGGCAAATGGAATGCTGTTTTATGAGGAGAGACTGTATCTGTACTCAATTGGTGTTATGACCAATGAGAGGTGACCTTAATGAAATATCAGAGGTTGTTATGGAACTTGACAGTTTAGATGCAGAAAGGCTATTTTCCCCTTTGCGAGAGTCTACAAGAAAATGGCACAATCTCAGTGTGAGGCTTTACCCAGTTGTGACAGAGATAAGGAGCAATTTCTTCTGAGGATGGTTAATCTGTAGAATTATTTGCCACAGAATACTGTGGCAGCTGATGGTTATGTATATTCAAGACTGAGTAGACAGATTTTTAATCAGTAAGTGAACCAAGGGAAAAGGCAAAAAAAAGTTATCAGAACAGCCATGATCTCATTCAATGGGCTGAATGGCCTACTTCTGCTCTAGTGTCATATGGGCTTATTTAAAATAAACAAAAAGTGTAAACCAAAGCTCTGAGAAAACACTTCTAACATACAAGGTTTTGTAGACAGGATAGGATTATTAATGAGATAGGATTGATGCTGAATATGCAGCATCAATAATATGATTGAATTTTATACTTAGTTTGAGGGAGAAGTTTGGGCCTAAGATTAGTATTTTAATTTTAAATAAAAGTAATTATGAAGACATGAAAGCAGAGCTAGCTAAAGTGAACTGCCAAATTAAGTTCAAGTCTAGGTCAACAGAGGTAGAGTCATAGGCATTTCAATGGATATTTCAGAACATAACCGAATAGATAATTTTCAACAAGAAAGAAAAATTCCAAGGGAACTTACCATTTATGGTGAACTAAAAAAGTTAAATATCATTGTTTTAATAAAGCATATCATTTTGCAAAAATGAGTGGCTAATCAGAAAATTGGATAGTATCCAAAAGCCAGTGAAGAAATTGGGAAAGGTTAGAGTATGAGAGAAAGCTAGCTACAAAGATAAGAGAGCTTCTATCAATATTTCAAAAAGAATAATGAAGTGGTCCGACAGAAAGTGAGTCTGGAAAATTAATAATGGAAAATGAGCATACGGCAGTTAAATTAAACATGTGTTTTGTATTGCCTCTTCACTATGCAGGATTCAATATCCCAGAAATAACCACAAATCAAGAATTAGAAGGAATGGTGAAATTTCAAGAAAATTGCAGTCACCAGGGAAGCAGTACCTAGAACATTATTGGAACTGCAGGCTCACAGGACCAAGGTTCATATGGACTTCATCCTACGGTCTTAAAAATTGACTTTTGAGACGGTTAATGTATTACTTTCAATCTTCCAAAATTCCCTTAATTCAAGGAATACTGTTAGATTGGAAAATAGTGAATGTAATTCCTTTATTCAAAATCAGAGACAAAAATCAGGAAGCATTTGTTATGGGGAAGATGTTAGCAGCAACTATTAAGGATGCTATAGGAGGGCATTTAGAGAAGTTCAAGCTAATCACACAGAGTCAACATGGTTTTGTGAAAGGCAAATCATGTTTAACCAACTCATTGGAGCTCTTTAAAGAAGTAACATTTGTTGTGGATGAGGTATAATTGGTGGATGTACTGTACTTAGATTTCCAGAATGTATTTGATAAAGTGTCACATCAAAGGTTATTGCAATAGATAAGAGGACACAGTGTACGGGGAGGCATATTAACATGGATAGAAGATTGGTTAGCTAACAGGACACAGAGAGTAGGCATAAATGGGTAATTTTGCATGAATGAGAGAGTAGGCCGAGGGACTGAGTGGCCTACTCTCGCTTCAAATTTATGTGTTTATAAAATTTAGAGTGAAAGGGTGATTTGACTGAAATTTTCAACTTATCAATGGAGGTACTATGGGCTATCAACAGCATTACCTGTAGCAACTTGCTCAGTTTGGGTGGTGTAAGAGTCACTCAGGTCCAGATGTCATTACAGCTATGGTCTAAAAATGGACAAAATACAACCTCGAGGCACGGTGAAAGTGACTGCCCTTGACATCAAGGCAGCACTTGACCAAGTGTGGCATTAAGAAGCCCTAGCAAAATTGAAATAAATTGGCATTGGGGGAAATCTCTCCAATGGCTGGTGTAGTACTTAGCATAAAGAAAGATGTTGCTGGTTGTTTGAAGCCAATCATCACAATTGCAGGACATCGCTGCAGGGGTCCAGCAGCATTGTGCTTAGTCCTGATTATGTTCAGCTACTTCATGTATCACGTTTCCTCTATCATAAAGACAGAAGTTAGAATGTTCACTGACAATTGCAGAGCAGTCAGTACCATTCACAACCTTCAGATATTGAAGCAGTCAGTGTTCGCATGTAGAATCATAGTGGTTACAACACGAAGGGAGATCATTCAGCCCATCATGTGTGTGCTGGCTCTCTGTAAGATAAATATATCTCACGCCTATAGCTGTGCAAATGATCCAGAAATGCTGCCAGACCAGCTGAGTTTCTCCAGCTTTTTCTGTTTCTTTTTCAGATTTCCAGCATCTGCAATATTTTGTGTTTATTTCCTCATGATGCTGCCAATATTGCCACTTGGTGTCCTTTAGGTCTTGATTTTGCATTAATGGGAACAGTTTCTCCCTTTCTCAGTCCAGACTGCTCAAGATTTTGAATACCTACAAATCTTATTCATCTTTCTCTTCTCCAAGAAGAACAGGCCCAGAATTTTAATTCTCCTATTCATCTATGTAACTTAAGATCTTCATCCATCTTGACAACCATCAGGGTTAGGCAGATAAGTGGTAAGTAACATTCACACCATGCAACTACCTGGAGTTATAGTCTTAATAATAAAGTATCTAACCATTTCCCCTTTACATGGACTGGCATTATTGTTACAATTACCATGTCTATCCATCACATGGCCATTGAACCATGGATTGATAATAGCTCAAGTAACCCCTTTTAATTTCCAATAATCCAAGTTAAAACAGCCATCAGTCAAGCTTTTGTTTAAGCAGGTGAATGTTAATTTATTACAAGCTATTTCTGAAGACATTTTAAGGATAAAGAAAAAGGGAATTACAGATAATAACAAGTACAGCTAAGAGAAAGTAATATTTATAAGAAAGTTCCAAGAAGTGTCTTTGGTATATTATTGGGGCCTGTTGCTCGATGTCCTAATTGCTGAAGCTAAGAGGTTAACACTTGAAGTCAGAACAAGCAGCTGCAATGGCTTCTGTGGTTGCAAAGTTGGTGTTTTTTTCTACAGCTACACTAGCCAGACAACAGGTTTCAAGAAGACAATATTCCTTCTTCTCTACTAGATCTGTGACTTTGCATTTTATACACTGCCACGTTTTCCTTCAACATAACAGTATCTATTTTGCGTTAACCTTTCCTCTTTTCCTTAACTCCCCAATCTGAAGTGGTTCTCAAAGTTTTTCCTTGAAGTTCTGTACACTTACTGTTTCTGGCTAGATTTTCTAATATAGCTCCAACGTTTAAAATGGTGGTATATTAATTTTGAAGAATCAAAGATACTACAAAGCAAAGTCAACACTGGTGAGATTCTTTGAAATTCTTTTCCCTTTTCCAGTTTCTTTCCAAAGCTAGAATTCTCACACCTCCCTTGTCTGTCTGCAAAGACCATATTTTTCTGATATCCATGTAGAACTTGTAGCTGTATAGTCAGGTGACTTGTAGCTGTCTTTTTTTAGTGTCTTGTGCTTGGTTGAAGTCAGATTAGATATTTTTTACAAAATATGTAACATTACAGCTCTTTGTTCATGATATTATCATCACTCAATGCTTTTACCATCACTTTTCTGTCTCTTACATTTGATTAAAGTCTAAAATGATTCACTAGATTAATAGTGTTAAGAGAGAAGGTCAAAAATTGAGAATTCTGCAGCCAAGCAACTCATCTACAGACTCCCAAGTCTGTCTACCATCTAGAAGGTAGAAGTCAGAAGTCCACTTGCCTGGATGTGTACAATTCCCACAATGCTTGAAAAGTTTGACACCATCCAGAGCAAAGCAACCTCCTTAATCAGTACTCTATCCTTGAATACTCACTACCTCCATCACAAGGACACAGTGTCAGTAGTTGACTGGTCCAAGGACAGAATGCTATATGACTTGAAGGGGAACTTGCAGGTGGTATTTTGCTAGTCTTGTTCCTCAAGATGGTAGAATTATAGTTTTGAAAGGTAATTTTGAGGGATGTTTGATGAGTGTATTTCTGCTCCAGTATTGCTGTTCCTTCACCATTCTTAGGGCAAAACCTGGACTTTCTATCCAATTGGCATTGTGGTCTAATTCCACCACATAAACTGCAACACTTTAGGGAGGTGGTTCATCACCAACTTCTCAATGGTAAATTGGGGATATGCAACAAATGTTGGCCTTGCCAGTAACACAAACATCCCATGAATGAATAAAAAAGAAAGGATAGTGAAAATAGAGAGAAACTACTTTTGCTGGCTGGGGTGTCTAGGACTTTGGGACATAGTCTTCTTCACACAAAAGGTAGTAGAAGTTTCAAACTGTCCCTTTCTTAAGCAGCATTTGGTGCTAGGTCGTTTGTTAATTTCATATTTAAGATTGATAGAACTTTATTAACCAAAAACATTAAGGGATATCAGGCAAAGGCAAATAGGTGCATTTCAGCTATAATCTCATTGAATGCTGAAACATGCTCAAGGGGCTAAATTAGCTATTATGTTCCTCATATTAGATTAGTTGAGGAAAATCATTGACACGATCATACAAAAAGTGGAACATGAGTAGTTCACTAAGGTCCTTGAGCCAGCTCTGCTATTAAATAAGATGTGCCATAAAGCCATGAAATGTTGCAAAACATTAACCCAACAAGGAGAACAAAGGTAAGGTGTTAAATGCCTAACCTAATGGGTCACAGAACCACTGGGGCCAATGTGCACCATGCACCATAAAGGTTCCAGTCCTACCTTGACAGGTGCCAGTGGAAAGAATTAAGTAGCCATTACGCTCTTAACTGGATTTCTCAAAACTACTTTCATATGTATCCATATGTTTCCTGTGAAGCATTGCCTTTCATGTCAGAATTCTTACATAACATCAAGACTCCTATTGAAAGGCTGAATGATAAGAATGGGAAAGACAAGAGGTTTGGAATAACCTAGACAGTCAGAACATTTACAAGAATTCTTTCCACTTCATGTGGGAGAAAATCATTCATAATTCCAGATAGTATAATGCAAAGTATAAGCACCACAAACTCATGACGAACATGCCATGGATTTCCCATGAAGCAACTCAAAGACTGTCAACGTCAGTGCAAATCATAATGTGCCTTGACACAAAATATATAAGTACAAATAGTAATTAGAATGGGAACAGGCTCATGTGGAGTACAAAGACAGGTATGGATCTGTTGGGTTGAATTTTGTGCATGTAGATTGTTCAAGCCATGATTAAATGTACAATTTATAGGGCAGAGAGCAGAAGAACTTCTCAGGGTGTGGAATGGGCATTGAAGCAGATAAGACTGGTGACAGAAATGACAGATTGAGAGCATGAGATTCAGATTTAAGTGACTGTGTGCAGGATAAACCCAACAGAGTACTTGTTTCCAGATCAGTTCCAACCTTGATGTCATGCTACACAGTGTCATTTGCTGCAGTGTAAAGTCTTATGCCAACTTGACCTTCACCACCTAAGGGTTGCACTTGCCTGATGTTATCCCAGTGACATCACAGCAGATTGAGCCACAGAGGGGGAAGCTGCCTTCAAAATACAGCAGAAATCTGAAGAAGGGTCTAGGACCGAAACGTCAGCCTTCCTGCTCCTCTGATGCTACTTGTCCTGCTGTGTTCATCCAGCTCTACACCTTGTTATCTCAGATTCTCCAGCATCTGCAGTTCCTACTATCTCTTCAAAATACAGCATATGACTTCAGAGATGTCAAATGCAGGAAATGGAAATAAGTGAGTACAAGGGACAGAGCAACGACAGTGGGTGGGGAATGTGTAACGTACTGCTGCACTAAAATACAAGGTCCCCCTTCCTTTATCCTCCAGACACAGACTGAGAGGTGAAGGGGATACAACTTTCATCTTGCCCCTCAAAAAGATGGCGTCTACCGGCCTTCACTAGCCCTATGCGTGGTAGAGCGGGGCGGCCATTTACTTCATAGGCTGAGCCCGTGCAGCAAAACAACCAACTTAGTCCCAAGGAATCGCGCATCGCTAAAGGACCAAGACCGACTGTTGTGAAGAGGACATCGCGGTGAAAGGCGAACATCAAGCAAAGACTGACGCTATGGTGAACAGGCTGGCGATCTGAGCCGGGTGGGAACAAAGGGGCCATGGGCGGGAACAAAGGGGCCATGGGCGGGAACAAAGGGGCCATGGGCGGGGTCTGGAAGGCACGTGCGGTGGTGTTTTTTTTCAGGTTGGGGTGTGAATGGGTTCTGGAATTTGTGGGCGGGGTTTGATGGGGGCGGTGTCTCGAGGTGAAGCGGTGATGGGACGTTTTGGGGGAGATGTTGGTGTTGTGGGCGGGTCTAGAGTTTATGGGGCGGTGTCTCGGGTCTATGGGCGTGGTCTAAGGTCTATGGGTGTGGTCTCGGGGCGATGCGCGGGGTCTCCGGTCAGTGGACGGGATCTCGAGTCTGTGGGCGTGGTCTCCGGTCTGTGGGCGGGGTCTCGGGTCCATGGACGGGGTCTCGGGTCCATGGGCGCCGTCTCGGCGCTGTGGGCGAGGTCACGGGTCTATGGGCGGGATCTCGCGTCAGTGGGCGTGGTCTGATCCATTCTGTGGGCGGGGTCTCGGGTCGGTTGGCGCAGTCTCGGGTCTGTTGTGGGCGTGGTCTCCAGTCTGTGGGCGAGGGCTCGGGTCTATCAGCGGGCCTCGCATCAGTGGGCGGGGTCTCGGGGCTATGGGCGGGACTTCAGTTCATGGGTGTCAGCTGACTGTCGTTGCGAGGGGTGGTGTCACTGGTACTGGGCGGGGCCTGGCTTGGTCTTGTCGGGTGGGGGCGGTAGGAGGGAGGCAGCTGCTGGCCCAACTCCACGACCTTGAATGTGGGCAGTGGCCTGTCGCTTGCCGCAGCGATAGGGAAGTGTTCGGAGAGAAGACATCGAGAGGAAGGTGAGTGATCTGACGTATTGGAACTAGGGGTTTGCACTGAGACCTGGGGGTGGGCGACGATCGAACGGAACAGAAATACCAGTCCTCTGCAGGTTGTACCGAGTGAAGCAAGGCCGCTGCTGATAGGCGGACGGATTATACAGAGCGGCTGGAGTGATGATGGTCGGAGCATTGTTACCTACGGCGCTTGCATCAGTGATTAGATATTTGTGAATTAATACCCTCCAGCCATGGCCTACACCATTGTTGTCATCTAACGGTTCTCTTACCTACTTGTTGTGTCCGGACACCCTGTGGGAGGAAATTAAGTCCGGGGCTGCTACCTGGGGTGTCGGAGTGTTTCTGCTCAGTTCATTGTTGTAATCATCTGATTTCTTATCGTCCATTTTCTTCCTGCTCTCCCTGGCATTTATAAAGTTAAAATGTGGTGGAGGAACGTGTACTGACTGATTTTGAGGCATTATTACCCCTTTAAGTGATCAAACCTTAATTACTTTCTACAGGGGAAAATCGTGCAGAGCGTTTGAAAAGGAAGTATGGAACAACCTAAACAAGTTCGGATACTGTACCTAAATGAATGGGATAGATTTGAAAGAACACTTTTCCGCCTCAAGCAAGGTCGGTGTTTATTTAGACTCCACTGTTTTACGTCTGTTGCGAACTCAAAAGTCCAAACGAGAGAGACAGGTTAAATGCAGCTTTTGACATGAATTTATGCTATAAGAAACTTGCACGTATTGCTCTGGAATTTGCTCTTTGATTATTCTGCAATTTTGACATATTTGCATATGGAAGCTTTCAAACATGTAAGCAGATGCATGCTTTCTTTTGGCAAATTGTAGATGTAATTGATACGTTGTCTCAGTCTATTTTTGGAAGCAGTATCTGTGACCAGTAATAAAACTGCTGTCACAGAACTTCATGTGATAAATAGTATGCTTGTATCTAGCTATTGAATGTTTTTCTAAGTTGCTGTCAGTAAAAGCTGTTGCATTTTATTGTCCTGTAATTAGGTATTTTTGTAACTCTTCCTGCAGTCTGCGTTTTGCCGAAATCAGGGTATTTTGAAGCTATCTTGCAGCAACACGTGTGGTTTTCAAATGTGAAGCATGGTTTCACTCTTTATTTATTGCTGTCATAAGTACAGTGAAAAGTTTTGTTCAAGCAGTACAGGAAGATCATAGGAAACAAGGATGGACAGATTATAGGGTGTTTAGACAGTGAGGAATACAATGGTACAGCTGCACAGGAGGTGCACAAAAGCAAAATCAGCATTAGATTTGAAATTAGAGAGGTCCATTCAGCAGCCTAACAACAGCAGGAAAGAAGCTGTTCTTGAACCTATTGGTGCGTGTGTTCAAGCTTCCGTATCCTCCTGCCTGACAGAAGGGGTTGGAAGAGAGTATTACTGGGGTGGGAGGGTCTTTGATGTTGGCAGCCTCTCAGTGGCCACGAGAAGTGTAGATGGAGTCCATGGATGGGAGGTTGGCGTCCGTGATGGTCTGGGCTGTGTACAAAACTTTCAGTAGTCTCCTGCAGTCCTGGGCAGAGCAGTCGCCGTACCAAGCTATTATGCACCCAGATAGAATGCTTTCTGTGGTGCATCTGTAAAAGTTGGTGAGGGACCTTATGGACATGCCAAACTTCCTAAGCCTCCTGAGGAAGAAGAGGTGTTGTCATGCCATCTTGACCGTTATATCTACCTGGAAGGTCCAGACAGATTGGTTATCGTTACCCCTGGGAACTTAACACACTCAACCCTCTCCACCTCCGTTCCATTGATGTAGATAGGGGTGTGTCCTCCTCCTTTATTCCTGAAGTCAGTGATCAGTTCTTCTGTTTTGCTGACATTGAGAGAGAGATTGTTATCATTGCACCACAACATCAAGCACACTATCTCCTTCCTGTATTCTGACTCCTCATTGTTTGACATCTAGTCTACAACGGTGGTGTCATCAGCGACATTGTAGATGACGTTCACACAAATTTTAGCCACACAGTCATGAGTGTACAAGTAGAACAGTAGGGGGTTGTGTACGCATCCTCGCGGGGTGCTGGTGTTGAGGGTTATCGTGGAGGATGTGCTGTTGTCTATCTTCACTGGTCTGTGGGTCAGGAAGTTGAGGATCCAGTTGCAGAGGGCGGAGCCAAGACCGAGGTCTCGGAGTTTTGAGATCAGTCTGGTTGGGATCAAAGTGTTGAAGGCAGAGCTGTAATCAATAAATAGGAGCCTGATGTAGGTGTCCTTGTTATCCAGATGTTCCAGGGACAAGTGCAGGGCTAGGGAGCTGGCATCTGTTGTGGACCTGTTTTGCCAGTAGGCAAATTGCAAAGGATTGAGGCAAGTTGGGAGGCTAGAGTTGACGTGGGCCTTCATGATTATGGAGGTCAGAGCCACTGGGCAGTCGTCATTGAGGCACGTGACATGTGCTTTCTTTAGTACTGAGATGATGGTGGTGGTCTTGAAGCAGGTGGGGGACTTCAGATTGTAGCAAGGAGAGGTTAAAGATGTCAGCAAAAAACTTCAGCTAGCTGGTTCACGTAGGATCTGAGTGCATGGCCAGGGATTTTGTCTGGGCCATTCGCTTTCCTTGGGTTCACTCTCAAGAAGGCTGATCTGATGTCTGCAGCGGTGACTGAGGAAACAGGTCCATCCGGGGTTGTTGGGGCAGGTGACGTGCCACTGGCATTCTGCTTCAACTGAGCATAAAAGGCATTGAGCGCGTTAGGGAGGGATGTGTTTTTATCCGCTATTTTGTATTGCCTCATTTTGTATCCCGTTATGTCACATAGGGTCTCGCCACAGTGGCTGGTGACCATGTGGTTTGTTTGGGCCTCTAACTTAGTCCGGTACTGCCTCATGGAATCTAAAATGGCCTTGCAAAGGACACATCTGGATTTCCTGTAAAGGTTTGGGTCTTCCAATTTGAATGCTGCACGTCTGGTCTTCAGTAGACAGTGGATTTCCCCGGTCATCCAAGATTTCCAGTTGGGGAGCCTATGGATTGACTTATTTGGCACGTAGTGCTGTACGCACTCGCTAATGAAGTCTGTGATAGTGGTGGCATGCCCGTCTAGGTTGTCAGTTGAATTCTTGAATATGGTTCAGTCCTCCAATTCCAAGCAGTCCTGGGGAAGCTCTTCCGTTGCCTCAGACCAGCACTATACTACTTTCTGTTACGGATTCTCTCATTCCAACTTCTGCTTGTTAGCTGGCAGGAGGCACACAGCATTGTGATCTGATTTTCCAAAGTGCAGACAGGGTATGGAGTGATAGACATCTTTGGTTGTGTAGTGGTCAAGAGTTTTAAGTTCTCTGGGGCAAGAGACATGTTGGTGTAATTTGGTAGCATCCTCTTGAGGTTGACCTGGTTGAAGTTGCCAGCCATGATGAATAAGGCCTCGGGGAATTTCATCTCCAGAGCATTTGTAACGCTGCAAATTTCATCCAGAGTATTCTTCACTTCTGCCTGGCATGGCATTGTAGACTGCAGTCAGGGATAGGGGTAAACTTGCGCGACAGATAGTAGGGACTGCATTTCACTGTAATATTCTAGGTCACCACCTTCTGCCATTATTGACATTGGCGTCTTGGGCTATAGGGCAAGCTCTCATAGAGTTATAAAGCACGGAAACAGACCCTTTGGTCCATATGCCTCTAAGCCCTTCCTAGTCATATACTCATCCAGATATCTTTTAAATGTTGCAATTGTACCGGCCTCCTCCACTTTCTCTGTCAGCTCATTCCATACATACACAACCCTCTGCATGGAAAAAGTTGCCCCTTAGGTTCCTTTTAAAACCTTCCCCTCTCCCCTTAAACCTATGCCCTCTAGTTTTGGACTCCCCTTCCCTGGAGAAAAGACCTTGGCTATTCACCCTATCGATGCCCCTCATGATTTTATAAACTTCTATAAGGTCACCTCTCGGCCTGCAATGCTCTGGGGAATACTTCCCAGCCTATTCAGCCTCTCTCTATAGCTTAAACCTTCCAACCCAAGCAACATCCTTGTAAATCTTTTCTGAACCCTTCTAAGTTTCACAACATCCTTCCTCTCTAACCTTTTACCTTGCATTTCTTCCTCCAAGCTTTTTTTTATGTTTGACTTTTTGTTGTGACCTGCTTTTTGTTCCTTTGACCCCATTCCACTATTCCTTTGCTTCCCTTCCTGGTGGCAGTGTTGACTGACATTGTAGGTTACACCTTTGTTTGGATGTGGTCCTCTTCTACTCCAAAAGGGCCATCATGATCCTGCATCAAAAATCATTGCTCAACTTCCTGTTCCTGCAATGTACCAAATCTCCAGCTGTTCTTCTCAAGCTATTGAGTGTGTCCCCTTCCAAATCAATGTCAATATCTCTCTCAACTCACATACTGGAGCACTCCAATCACTGCTAAAATTGCATTAGCGAAAGGCATAAGCAATCCTGTGGTTGTACTCTCAGATTAACTGTTATCTGTAACTTGCACGTAGCCTTGACACCCTCAACACTGCCATCCTCCTTGAGCATCTGTCCTCTGCCCTGTTCAATGGGGCACCTTTTAACATAGCTCTATTTTTACTAATCTGATTGTAGCCACATGATCTCCAGCAAAGGTTTCTCCCTCCTCTCCTATTTGAACCATTTCCCGTTCCTTGAACTCCTCCTGTTCCTCTATTATAGTCCATAGACATAAGGTCAACTTTTGAATGAATGTTTGCACCAGGTGTACTTCCCATTTTCCCCCATTGCTTTGGGTTGTCAGGCTTCCATTTTCAGCACATCCTTGAGTCAGTCACAATTTAATGCAGTTGAACACCAACTCAAGCAATCTGTTCAGCCAATAACATTACCTATCCATTATCATCACTGAGCATCATGATTTTTCTATTCACTTAGTAAGGCAGGACTAAACTGTTTGCATCCTCTGCTGTTTTTGACCTTAAACTAGTTTCCAATTTCTCATCTGCAACACTTCTACTCTTGATACATAACCTCCAAGCTGCTCCCATCTAGTGTCTATTTTCCTGTCCTCTTCGTGTAAACTACTGCTTATTCTTGTGTGTAGTTACATGAATAATATCCTACATCAAGTTCTGCTTACCTATGTTGACATGTTGGCAACTGGTTCCCTGATGCCTCAGACTTAAAATGATCATTTTCATGTTTGCTCTTCATAGTGTTACTCTTTCCCTATTTTTGCATTATCTTCTGTCATTGCAACACCAGAATTCTCAGTACCTCTGGCTGTACTTTATTCACTATTGTTAGCTGTGCTTTCAGCCATCAGACTCCATTGAGTTTCCTTGAATTTGAATTCCCACCTTAAACATTTGTCTTTTCACCTTTCAAGTACTGAACATCATGTACCTCTTTAACCATCCTTCCTCCTTTTGGCGTGAACATCATTTTAGGGCTACTCATGCAGGAAATAGCCCAACTCTGCAGTCACGTAACTGCTGTTGTAAATATGTTCAATGTTGTTTCACTTGTGAGTAAAAATAAAATGTCAGAAGGGGAACTCAAAATGTTGAAGTTCAAGATTAGCAGTGAATGTCTTGGGCATGGCCCTCTAGTAAATCATGCCTCTCAAACATATTGAAGCTATACTTCAAAAGTGATGGCTTGATTAATCTTCAGCAACCTTGCATTTCTGGTTGATGTTTTAATGATAAATAAGAATAAGTGATACTTGGATTTTCAATGGACTCGGTCAAACCAAAGTGTATCTTAGGATGTTCTCTGGCATTAAATCCCAGCACCAGATCCCTTCAAGACATACCATGGTTATTTTAAACCCCTAATCTTTTCAGAGACAGTTTATTCTCATGGTCTTCATGACCCAGCAATTCTTTTTTTCTAGCTCATTCCATATCAGATCCAGATAGATATGAAAAAAAATCACCATTATACTTTGATAACAAGGTGTAGAGCTGGATGAGCACAGCAGGCCAAGCAGCATCAGAGGAGCAGGAAAGCTGACGCTTCGGGTCTAGACCCTTCTTCAAATTCTGTCTCCTGTCCACCTATCTTCTCCTTTATCCATCTTCTATCCGCCTCCCCCTCTCTCCCTATTTATTTCAGAACCCCCTTCCCTTCCCCCACTTCTGAAGAAGGGTCTAGATCTGAAGCGTCAGCTTTCCTGCTCCTCTGATGCTGCTTGGCCTGTTGTGTTCATCCAGCTCTACACCTTGTTATCTCAGATTCTCCAGCATCTGCAGTTCCTACTATCTCCGAAACCATTATACTTGGCATGTTCTATTGCTCCCTTAAGTCCGCATTAACATAATTATCGTGAGTGTTTGCTGGTGTGTTTTTTTTCTTCACAGCATCAGTTAATGTGTTTTTTTTTTTGTTCACTGCGTCAAAGCTAAAAAGTTTTTTTTTAAATATGTCTGAGTCCCATCCTATTCCCTTTAACACCACATTTACCATGACTAATCCGCGTAGCCTGCATATCCCTGGACACTACGGGGCAACTTAGCATAACCTGCACATCTTTGGACTGTATGAGGAAACTAGAGCACCCAGAGGAAACCCATGCAGATATGGAAGAGCATGCAAACTCCACACAATTGCCCAAGGCTGGAATCAAACCTGGGTCCGGGTGCTGTGAGGCAGCAGTGTGCCACCTGGTCGCTCCAGAAAATCTTTGGTACTTCTCTAGGGCCCAACTTTTTTTTTTTTTTTTGGAAAATTACAACCAATGCATCCACATTCTCTGTGGCTACCTCTTTTAGGATCCTGGGAAGCAAACCATCAGGGCCAGGGGACTTATCTCCCTTTAGACCCATTAGTTTGTCTTATACTACTTGTTTAGTAATTCCTCTCCCATATCTTTTAGTATTGATGGAATATTCAAAGTATTTTCCACCATAAGGACTGAAATAAAATATCTACTTAACTACTTTGCCATTTCCTCATCCCCCAAAACTACGTCCCTGATTTATTTCTAAGGGGCCTATGTTCACTTTGACCTCTCTCTCTTCCTTTTTATATATTTAAAAAATCTCTTTTCAATTTTTATTTTGCTTACTAGTTTCCCCTTGCAGTTTATTTTCTCTGTCTTTATTATCTTTTTAATTCTCCTTTGCTGGATTCTGAATTTTTTTTTTATTCCTTCACGGGATGATGGTGTTGCTGGCTAGGCAGCATTTATTGCCCATCCCTAATTGCCCACAGAGCAGTTAAGAGTCAACCACGTTGCTGTGTGTCTGGCAGCATCTGTAAAGGGAAAAAACAGTTAACGTTTTGGGTCTGGTGACCCTTGCTCCTTTAATGTTAAGTTCTCTGTTTTGATCCCCTTGTAACCATGTTTCTGTAGTGGCTATGAGATCATGTTTATTTACCTTGATTTGCACTGTCAGCTCATCTACCTTTATTCTGAATGTTTCGTGTATTAAGATACAAAGCCTTTAAGTTTGTTTTGTTATCAAGTTTCTTCCCACTTCTATGGTTCCTTGGTACAATATAACCTTCATACCTTCTGATAACAATCAACCCCATCTCTAACCTGCAATCTTACCTTCTTACCTTCTGATTTTTAAAAAAAAATTCTGTGTGATTGAACACCGCCCCCCACCATGCCCTTGCCTCCGCTATTTAGTTTAACGCCCCATCTACAGTCCTATTTACATGATTTACTAGTTCTCCAATCCCAGCATGATTAGGTGGAGCCTGTCCCATCGGAACAGCTCCCTCCTTCCCCAGTACTGGTGCCAATATCCTATGAACTCGAATCTTTCACCAATCTTTAAGCCATATGTTTACCTCCTTAATCTTGTTGACCCTGTGCCAGTTAGCTCGTGGTTCAGTTAGTAATCTAGAAATTATCTCCATTTGCTTCTGATTTAGCGCCCAGCTGCTCATCTTCCCTCAGCAGAACCTCTTTCTTCTTTCTCTGCCTATATCATTGGTACCTATGTGGGCCATGGCAACTGCATTTTTCCCCTGCCACTCCACGTTTCTCTGTAGCCCAGATGGGATATCCTGAACTTGGGCACCAGGCAAGCAAAGCAGCATCTGGGGCTCTCGATCCTAACCACAGAGTACAGTGTCAATTCCCCTGACTATATTATTCCTGATAACAACTACACTCTTCTCTTCTGTTTCCACCCCTTGTGAATGGCTCCATGTACCACGGTACTGTAGTCAGTTCATTCATCCTCCCTAAAGTCACCACTCCTGTCCACACAGGGTGCAAGAATCTCAAACATGTTAGACAAGCTCAAAGCCTGAGGCTCCTTCAGAAATACTTTCTGGATCTATCTCCCTGCCTTGCGTGCAGTTACATCCTCCTGTCCCTAACCACTGACTGAATTAGAGGTAGTTGATCTAAGAGGTGTGCCTGCATCTTGAAACACAGCGTCCAAATAACTTTTTATTTCTCCCCACCCTGATGTGTCACCGTTTTTGAAGTTCAGACTCCAGTTCATCAGCTCTGAGCCGGAGTAACCAACACTTTGTCCAGATGTGGTCACTGAACCACAGTGAGGTCTGCCAGCTCCCACACCTTGCAAATGCAACACATCACCTTGTGCTGCATCTCTATTTTGTTACGTTCATTTTTAATTTTGTTTCTTATTTTCCTACTGGATTTTTTTAGATTGTAATCTGTTAATAATTCTCCCATTTATTTTCAATCTGAAAGCAACCTATAACAGTCAAATTATCAGCCAATGAACTTGGCTTTCTTGTGATGCCATTCTTTGCTTTGTGTTGGGCCCCTGATAGTGGCCTTCTATTCATTGTTAAAAGACCATACAAACTATGAACCCAAAAAGTCAAGCAAAAACATCTCTTGTCCCTCTGCACCAAATTCCCATGCTTCTCCAAACTATATCCAGGCTATGTCTCACTTCAGATGTGATCTCTCCTTCCTGACTGTACAAAACTTATTGATGTGTGCTATTTAATTGTGAGCTTATTTCTTTTCCAGTGAGGAAAAGTTGCTGTCTGCTCAATTGATGTTCCACAGCTAAAATATACTTACTAATTCTACTTCTGCTTCAGAAACTTTCAGAACAATACTTATTTTGCTAAACACATGTAAGTGCGGAGTGGCCATCTCCAACAAAAGAAGATCTAATAATCTCCCTTAGCAAGAAGTGGAAAGACCATTGCTAAATCCTCCGCTATCAAAAGAACTGGGGTTTACCACTGACCAGAAATTGAACTGGGCAAACTTTTTCAGTATTGTTTGTTTGCCAGATGGTGTGATTGGTGTATATTTCCCTGTAAGAGATAGTAAAACTATTGTCATTCAGCTGATGTCATCACTTTCAACTAAAGTAAAATTTGTTTTCTCTATTTTTCTGTTCTCGTTTTTCAGGATATGAATTGCAGTTTCGTCTTGGTCCATCTTTACAAGGGAAGGATGTTAATGTGAACATCAACTATCCAGCTGCTTCAGATAGTTTTGAACGTCATCGCTTTCAGACATTGCAGTGGCAGAATCCAGTAGGAGGCGATGACTCTGATAAATACTGTGCAGTTATTTTGCAGATGTCTGGATCCTTTCAATTTTATTATGTCTCTAGGTGAGCTTAAATGAAGATAACTTTCCTAATCTTAAGAAAAAAGAATACTCTTAAAATATTTCCACAATATATTTTACTTTTGCTTCTCCAATATTCTGTCATAAATATGTTTGAACCATTTTGGGCTATGGTTCAAAAACATCAGCCACTTTCTCTCCATGTGCCACGTGTGGGATGTAAGCAGTGAGTGATTGCAGACTAATTAACTAGAAATCGGTGCAGTTGAACCTGTGGTATCTTTGCTTGACATCCATAAGCATGCATATCCTTCAGGATGTGTTGGATTGCAAAGGAGCAAGAAAATTAGCTGGGTTTGTTTTCCATTACTGAGCAAAGGGTTGTTCAGATCTTTCAGAGTAAATTGACTACCACAGTGTTGGAATTCAGCTACCTCAGCATGTCGAAGCTGGAATCCTTCCAGCCTGAAAAACACTGTTGCACACTAGGTAGCAAACGTGCCACCCACCAAATCTATTTTTTTAATTGTAGGATGAGTCCTGTTTTTACTAACGCTTTTTATTTTACCAACAACTTTACTATTCCTTGCTCTGCCTTCCCAAGTGCTTTGCTTAAAATAAATGTAGATGCAAGGTTCTTGCTGTCTTTATCAAAAAGGACACATCTAACAACTGAGAATCTAATCATCTCCCCTTGATTTCTATGCACGGACCATTACTGAATCCCCCACTATCAAAATTATTGGAAACACCATTGACCAGAAACTGAACTAGACCAGCTACAAATACTGTGTGGGTATAACAGCAGTCAGAGACTAGAAGTTCTACAGCAACTAACCCACCACCCAACTCCCCAAAGCCTGATCACCATCTGCAAACCATATGATGGAATGATCTGTTAGTGCAGCTCCACCGACACCAACCAGGATAAGTAACCTGTTTGGCGCCCTATCCACCACCTTAAGCATTTACTCCTTCCACTACCAATGCACAGTGGCAGCATTGTGTGCTATATACAAGGTGCATAGTAGCAACACATACAGGATATATCAACAGCATGTTCCAAATCTGTGACCTCTACCACATAGAAGGGCAATGGAGTTGATGTGTGGAAACATTGCCATCTGCAAGTTCCCCTTCATTTCATATTGGCAATACAGTTTCAAATCAGGATGGCATTCTTTCATAGTAATTGGACCAAATCTTTGCATTCCTTTTCTAACAGCACCATTGGTGTACCTATACCATGTAGATTGCTGGGGTCAAATGGAGAGGCAACAAATACATTTATGCCAGAGGGAATGTAACTTCCTGAAATGACTGGATTTTAAAAAAATGTTTTGACATGGTATAGGCAGTATTAGATCAGTTTGTCACTTTTTACCTTTTTCCAACTGGGCCTCCCTTTGGACAGGATATCTCTACAACTGCATTTCTCACTGAGAGATTGTTAGGCATATGATTTGGCAATTTGCACAATTGACAATTTGAAGTCAATTCCTAAGAAATTAATTCTTGATCACCTTTCTGTAAATATTCTCTTTAGAGAAGAATGATGTTACATTTGATTCTTTTGTGAATCTTTCAATTGAGATAACCTAAGGTAAGAGGATTTCAACTGGAAATTCATTTCACCTTTGGCTGCCCTTTAAGCTCACTTTTTTAATATTATAACTATTTCTAGTTCTGAGTCTTAACCCGTCACAACCTGCAGGCATTAGAGTGAGGGAATTTTATTCCGAGCATGCTGAGGAAAGAGAATAAATGTGTTGTTAATTTAATGGTAGCCATCCAAAGTAACATTAAAGTGCATGGTCTTGATAAATTGTAAAAAGAAACGCCACTGTAGTGGCATGTTGATAGATCCTTATGCTTCAAATGTCCAAAGCCTTTTCTGAGAAATACCATGCTACTTCAAATGTGTGATATAGAGGGTGAATATGTGATGAGAGGTCGAGTGGTGAAATATAAGTGGAAAGATGCAAATTTATTTGTCTTTCAGTAGAACTTATCAGCAGTAATAACAATAAACACTTAAGGGAAACCTGAAATGTCTCACTTTATATCTTCTTGTCTTAAGAAATAATCAAAGGATTGGTGCAGGCTTTATCATTGTGGACCCTATTCTACGTGTTGGACATGACAATCAAGTTCTGCCACTGGATTGCATTTGTCTCCAGACGTTCTTGTCCAAATGTTTGGGACCATTGGATGAATGGGAGGCCCGGTTGAATGTTGCTAGGCAAACAGGTAATGGGAACTGACAAATGTATCAATTTATAAACCTTTTAGTATTGTGAAAAATATCAAGCAGCTCAGGTTTTGTTTATCTGTATAAATAATCGGATAACAGAGCATAACATGCGTTGCAATATCAACAAGTAACTCAAAACTGAAAACTGTTTTCATGTTTACAAATGTTTCTCTGAACTTGATTTGTTATACTCGATAGGATACAGGGATGAAACCACCCCCTTCCACCAAAGATCCTAAATGTGTGTGCTGTCTTTACACCTCTGTTTTTCACCTCCCCTCCACATTCTGTGTTCTCCAAATATCTTAACTCATTAAGTTCTAAGATGCCTTCACGGACACTGTATTTTACAAGTTTCCATTGACACCATGCAGTTGTGGTCAGTGACTTCCTGAATTTTTCTGTCAGTTCTCCAAAACTACTAACGCATCATTCTATTTGTTCATGGTTTCCCTTGAAATCTTTTACTTATTACAAAATAAAATCACTTTTTTTTTAAAACATGAGCTATCCCTTGTTCCTCATTCAATTTATTGCCTTCCAATCTTCTTTGCCTTCTATAATACATGGGTTTTCGAAGCATATATTCTTGATTTTGCTCATTATTTCCTCTTTGGTATCCTATACTGTTGATCTTAGACCTTCACCAAGGATTGTCACTAATAACAAATGCTAACTCAAGTTTAAAGTTAGGGAAAATGAATTAGTGTCATTTCTGTATTTGTGTTTAAAATAATAGTTCACGCCAGAGAAGTTAACTTTTGTCACAGTTTTGAGAAGATCAGATATGATTTTAAAGGACAAAGGCAATAATAACAGCTGAAGTTGTGGATTTGTGGAGGAACCCTACTTTGAAATGTTAGGAATTCCGTGTTCCACTCTCAAATTCAAAGTGCGTAATGTCACACTTTCCCACATTTGTATTCCATCTGCCACTTGTTTGTCCATTCTCTTAGCCTGTCCAATTTCTTCTGTAGCCTCACCATTTCCTGAACAGTATCTCTTCCTCCACCTATCTTTGTGTCATGATTTATGATAGAATACTGTCCATTTCTTGAATGAGAAGCTTGATATGCTATAAAATTTTTAAAAAGTAGACTAGATTGTTACTCCACTAACTATCTTAAACTCCCTTGGGTGCCAGTGCACAGAAGCAGCTATGTGTACTGCAGCAATTCACCAATGCTTCTTTGACAGCATCTTCTAAACCTACAACATCGGCCTAATGGGAAAAACGGGGGCCAAATTGCTGCTTTGTCTCCTGCTCATCATATTGGAACTTTCTTCCAAGATGTATGTGTACCAATATCACATGCGCAGCAGTTGTTCACCTTCTCCAGGGCAATGAGAAATGGGCAATGCTTACATTGAGATGCTCCATGTTCCATGAAGAAATAAACAAACAATTCCCCAACATTACACTGAGAGGGGAGGTAGTTAACCTTAGATATCTGCAGTTCCAATATAACTTTGTATTTGCAGTCGGCTGTACAATGAGTGCTGAGGTTCAAGTTGATGTGAAACTGCCATGGTTATACATATGCCCGTTATGGTTCTCACTAGATTATCTCTCTTAATCAGTAATTGCAAATATCAGTAAATACTACAAATTGGACCCCATTTGTCAGGAATAAGCTGCACTATCATGCTGTTCCAGTAATGTCTGTTTTGATGTAACGCATACGATCATTTTTTAGTATGGATTTTCAGTATGCTGTATCATCTTAGGATATATAGGACATCATAGAGCGTTTAGGGACAAAGTGTTGAATGTATTTCAAGAAGTAGAGAGGGTTCTTGGGGCTAAAGGGATCAAAAGGTACAGGATAAAAGTGGTATGTTAATAGGGGATTCAGTGCTGGTGATGCCATTGAATGTCAAAGGACAGTGCTTAGATTCTTTGTCTCATACTGGAGATGGCCATTGCTTGGTGTTTGTGACATGAATGTTACTTGCCACTCTTCAGACCAAGTCTGGATATTGTCTAGGTCATGCTGCATTTGTACGTGGACTGCTTCAGTGTCTGAAAATGTACAATGATTGCACCATTCGTGAAAACATTGAAACATTGTGCAATCATTGGCAAATAGCCACACTTCTGACCTTATGGTGGAGGGAAGATCATTAATGAAACGGCTGATTATGGTTGGACCTGGGACCCTTCACTGAGGAACTCCTGCAGAGATATCCTGGAATGGAGCATTGAGTGGCAGAGCAGGCTCAAAAGGCCAAATGGTCTACTCCTGCTCCTAGTTTCTATGTCTCCTCCTGTCTGTGCTTGAAGGAAGGCAATTGACATAGTGACGTTATCACTAGACTATTAATCCAGAGACCAGGTAATGTTCAGGGAACCTGGGTTTGAATCCTACCATGGCAGATGGTGGAATTTGAATTCAGTAGTCTGGAAATGAGTTTAACGATCATAAAACCATTGCTGATTGTAAGGAAAAAACGCATTTAGTTAACTAATGTTATTTAGGGAGAAATCTGCCATCTATATCTGGTCTGGCCTACGTGTCACTCCAGTCCCACAACAATGTGGTTGACTCTTAACTGACCTTCAGTCAATTGGGATGGGCTAAAATGCTTTCCCAGCCAGTGACACCCACATCCCACGAATAAAAAAAAAAAAACAAGTTAGGAGTGCTGTGAGGCTCTAGGTTTTGGACAAGATGACAATGCCTAAAGAGCCAAGGCAAAACTGAGATGCTGTGAGCATCCAAGAAAGTTGAGTGATTGGATGCTTAAAAATAAGTTAGCCAAGAACCCTAAGATGCAACCAGACGCATGGCTGCCTTATCCCTGTGTGCAAAGTAGATTGGCAGCAATATTGTAATGAAAAGCATCAGTGACCTCCAGAATTGAAGTGGTAAACTAAATCCTGTTGATGTAGTGAGGCTAGTGCTTTTCTAATGCCAACCCCTGTGGATGAAGAATGCAGGCAGTTGTTGCCCATGGCGTGTTCCCTGAGGTGTTGAGGACTGTTGGCCAAGATGGATACTTGGAAAAGAGACAAATGGCTACAACTGCTAGATAACTGCTTTCACTATCATGTCTTGAATTGCTTCCGTCCAAGCTCCCTCTATTTCCTGAGAAGATCCGAATTACATATAAATGAAGTGACATTAGACAATAAGCAATGTTAATGCATGCAAATAGGCTGCTTGCCACTCACTGATTTAGACTTTTTTTTTCTGTTGAAGTCAAGAATCTCATTTTTCCATTCTTACAATATTTTTCCAACTGATTTGTCATTATCAATGTCATTCAGGCTTGGGAAAATTTCACCCATAGAATAACCAAAGACAGACTCTAAATGTAGTAACTGTAGTAATACAAACCTTTCCTGTTAGTTGCTCCTACTTGACTCCAAAGCTACTGAAGTAATTTCATTCTTGCGCCTGAAGGATAAACATAACTGGTTTAGGTATGAAACAAGATGATGAATTTTTACAAAAAAAATACAAATGACAAGTTCATATTGTCAGCAGTTCTTCATTTCAGAAGCTGTGCACATGATACTGGAGTTGTTGGCATAAACATCTAATCTGACTAGCACAATTTAAGAGGCAGTTGTTGAGCTTTCTTTGCAATTGGGATCAACAGTTCACTCGCTCAATACATTTCTATTTCCCAAGAATGTTGCTACATACTGTCCGGTGACCTTCAATTGTGCAATTTAATATGTTAACTGAAATGCTTTTCTTAAAAAAAAAAAACATTACTAATCGTTACCTCCAAAACAAAAGAAGTGAATGTTCTCACCTAGCTCCATTTATTAACACTTAAATGACTATTTGACACTAAAACACTATTTGACTTTGTTTTATACCCATTGAAAGTTTTAAAGGAATAATTGTAGATGGCACTGTTAATACCTTTATAAGTTAATGTTACAAGGTTAGAGCAAAAGAAGAATAGTCGATATTTGAGAGCTGTGTTGACTCTGCCAACATAACTGACATCAATGGGAAGGCACTGCATTTGCTTTGAATATGATCTAGGCCCTGCATTTATGTTAGCAGAGTTGTTTCTTAATTAATTTAAACAATTCGGCCCATTTCACATAATAAACATAACTGAACAATTTTGGCTAACATTTCTCTTCCTGGAAAGAATGCTTCCATTGCATCTGGAGCATCCTTTCCTATCAGAGTACAGTTGACAGTTGCGTTTACAGATTTCCAAAAATTGTGGGTGCTATATTTTAGATAAAATATGGATGTTGGGTGCTGAAGATGAAAACTCTCTCCAACATGACCTACAAATAATGTTGGCATGCAATAGGAGTAAAAACTAAATTGTATTCAAAGTGCTGGAATCCAGCTGATCTGAGAGCATGCATGCATACAAAAGCAAATCTAAAATGCTTGCATGATTAGAATATTACTGAGCTGTGGGATGTTGATCACTTGAAATTCAAGCTACAACAATTAGAAATGGCTTCATATTTAAATACGATTACCATTAATACTGTCACAATTAAAAGGTTAGTGCTGCAACAATAACTACTGAGACATTCTGGGCCAAATAGGTTTAAATACCAAATTGAGTGGACATGAACTGATAACAATATTGTTAAATTGAGCATTGATGCAACCTATTTTCATAAAGACCCTTCAGCGCAGGAATAGCCATTCGGCTCATCAAGTCTCCTCCAAAGAGCATCCCACCTAGATCCAGCCCCCAACAACCCTGCGTTCATCATGCCTAATCTACCTCGCCTGCATATCCCCAGACACTATGGTCAATCCACCTACCCTGTGCGACTTTGGACCATGGAAGGAAACCTGAGCACCTGGTGGAAACTAGCACAGACATGGCAAGAATGTGCAAACTCCACACAGACAGTTGCCCGAGACTGGAATCAAACCTGGGTCTCTGGCGCTGTAAGGCAGCAGCACTAACCACCGTGCTATACTTTTCTTGCAGACTAATTAGATTTTTACCTAGTGGCAGTCCACAAACTATGGATTTCCAATTGTACTGGGAGCCCTCTTTAGGTGTGTGCATTCTCAAAACTTGTCTTTTAAATTGTTCAGCCATCTTCAGTTTTGCATATACACATCCCTATTTTTATAATAGTTTTGTTTCTCTAAATATGCTGCTTTCCATATTGTTAAGCAAGGTTAGCTGTTGACACAAATAGTCTTCTCCCTGCATTGATCTTGCACTCTTGTTTATGCTGGCTCAAATATGTAGGCTGGACAAGTGTATGGCTCTGGTGGCTTGCTTCCAAATAAGGTTTACGTGTAAGACCACAACAACGTAATGTTTATAAAGCCCCATTAATGTAATAAAACTTTCCAAGGCACTTTGTAAGAACATCATGAAACAACTTATTACACTGAGCCACAAATGTTATGACAAATCATGAAAAGCTTTGTCAAAGAGTCAGGTTTTAAAGATGTCTTTTAAAGAGGAAAGTGAGGTGGTGAAATGTACGAAGGGTATTCCAGGGCTTAGTGTCTAGACAATTAAAGACTCCTCCACTAATGGTGGAGCAATTAAAATTAGCAAGGACATTTTAACTTGCTATATGCTAGTCAGGTCTGATAGAGTAAAGGTCACTTACTGTATAACTTCTCAACCTTCTCAGTGCAAATGTAAACCAAGATTATGAAATCTTTTCTTGTGACTTAACATTCCAAATCCTGGTGGTGGTCTGGTGATGCAGCTGCACCATACTTATTTTACTAGTTTGGTCATAGGCAGACAACACTTGGCTGACTCCTTAACAATAACATTTGCCCTCTTGCTAAAATTTCTGGAGTCAAGCAGTGACTGTCTTTCAATGATTTAATGTTCTAACTGCATGAAAATTCTTTTGATTGGAATGCAGAGTTAAGTTTTTTTTTTGTTAAATCATTTGAGGAATTAGTTTGCATTTCAAAATCATTAATTATAATTAAATTGGATAAAGGAACTGAAATTTGAGAGTTCCATTGAAGAGTCATACTGAACTTGAAACATTAACTCTTTCTACCTCTGCAGATGCTGCCAGACCTGCTGAGTTTCTCCACTTGTTTTTATTTCAAATTCAGTTCAGGGAACTTTGGCTCTGAATCAGGAACTCTATTCAAGATGCACTGTAGAATATAATCAAAAATAATATAATCTAAACTAATACAGCATAAAGGTTGAGAGCAAGGACATCTTTTCCGAGAACAAGTTCCATCTGCTTATTTGGTGCAATGGCACTTGTTTTATAAAATGTGGTTAGCATTCATCTTTAATTAACAGTACCATTGAAATAAATAAGTCTCATCTTGTATGGTGTCGAAAGATTTAACTGCTTTGTTTGTCTGCGAGATAGGTTTAACTGCTGTTCCAAGCAAAGCTGATAAGCCTATGAAGCGTTTTGGGTTATCCTTTTGGTGTCAAAGGTTATAAAGCTATACAAGTGCAAACTGTTTACTTATCTGGGAACAAGCAAACTTGCAAGTTAGAAAACTTTGCTCAATATCAAATTTTGCTTATAGTTATAAAATTTGTATTACTGGCTTAAGCTGCATTAATTTATTTGAACACAAATGAACAATAAATTTTATTTGTTCTTTTTAATAGGCTATAATATGATACATTTTACTCCATTACAAACTCTTGGATTGTCGAGATCATGCTATTCGTTAGCAGACCAGTTGGAATTAAACCCTGATTTTTCTCGGCCTGAAAAACTTTACACTTGGAATGATGTTGCGAGGCTAGTGGAGAAGTTGAAAAAGGAGTGGAACATGCTCTGCATAACAGATGTGGTCTACAATCATACAGGTACTGAATGAAGGAAAATATCCAACAATATTACAAAAGCTACACTTGTCAGCTTGAGGGAATGGTGAATTCTGAAAGAAACATGCATGAATGGGTTTTCAGCAGCAGATGAGCTGAGATAGGAGATGGCCAAGTTTGGTGGAAATTGCCAGTGTTAGTGTTGGCTTGAAGATGAGGTCAGAAGCTCAACTTGAGATCAAATGTTGACACCAAAAGTGTGACAGACTGAATCAATCTCTGACTGACTGTTGCTTGGGAAAAAGGGAAGGAATCATTAGCTACAGAATGGTGTCTGATGCAGGGACTGAAAATATTGGCTTCAGTCTTCCCACTATTTAATTGGACGGAAGTTCTGCTCATCCAGTACTGAATGTCAGATAAGCTGGCAATTTAGTGACTTAGAGTCAGAGGTTTGCAGCACAGTGGAGCATTTAAGAGAATAATGATGAAGTACAGCTGGATGTTATCAACATTGATTTATTATTTTGCAAGAGGAATGAATTATAATAATTTTAAAATGCAAATTAATCATAATTAAATTGGACAAAGGAACTGAAATTTGAGAGTCCCATTGAAGAGTCATACTGGACTTGAAACATTGACTCTTTCTATCTTCACAGATGCTGCCAGACCTGCTGAGTTTCTCCAATACGTTTGTTTTTATTTCAAATTCACAATACCTGCAGTATTTTCCTTTTAACTGAAAATTGATTTTCTGTGTAGAACATCTATATTCATGTGACAAAATTGTCACTCAATGTCATTCTATATTCTTTTATACTTTAAAGCATCATTTGTATGTCTGATCCACAGAAACTAACAGTATTGCAGAAATAAGACCCATTTTGTCAAAGGTTTTTATCTTGAGCTGATTATGCAAATTCAATAAGAAATGCCAGTTTAAAAGTTAAGCAATGTTTATGCTGAGAGGAGAGAGTTGATTGTCCATGGCAACACCTCTACCTAACACTTAACAACCAATGTGCCAGTTAATGATAACTGGCAGCGGCCAAGCTTTGTTCAAGTTTTCAACCAGGAAGGTTGATTAATCAAGACATTTTCTTGTGCACTCATCAGAATAAGGACTCGACAAGTACTTCTTTTTCAACAGTATTCAAGTTTTGGACTACTATTTGAAACTATCAGTAGAAACCTTTCTCTTCATAACTTTGAATTGGTGCTAAACAAACCTTTTTCCCTAAATAAAAATGCAAGTCTCATCGTATTTATGATTTAGATATTTCAAAATTAATTGTGAGGAGTTGTTTGTTTGCACTAGTTCTGGTTATTAAATTGAGAATAAAACTGCACTGCAAAAATCCGAAATTTGTAGTTCATTGTATTGCTTTCACACCTTAATTTGATTGCATATGCTATCTGAAGGGAAGACTTGCATTTATTTGTCTCTTTCATAACTGCAGGACAACATTTGCCATAAATTGCTTTGGGAAGTTCTATTGTTTTAATGTACGAGACATATGAATATAACAAATGTATTAATTAGGAGCAGGAGTAGAAACATTGTTGATGATGTTTACTTGGCAAGATCTCAAGCAGCTCTGTGGAATTGTTTCCTTCCACCAGAGAGTACAAATGGCAATGTGATGTGCTGAAGTTTTTGGAGTGGGACTTGAAGCCATAATAAAAACCGAAAGAAGTGCAGATGCTATAAATCAGGATAAAAAACCGAATTTGCTGGAAAAGCTCAGCAAGTCTGGCAGCATCTGTGAAGAAAAAAAGTCAGAGTTAACGTTTCGGGTCCGGTAACGTTTCCTCAGAACTGAGTTCTGAGGAAGGGTCACCGGACCCAAAATGTTAACTCTGATTTTTTTTTTTCACAGATGCTGCCAGACCTCCTGACCTTGAAGGCATAACATTTTAACTGAAAGTGAAAATTCTGCTACTGTGTCAGTGTGGATATCATGAAACCTGGGCTGCTAAATAAATAATGAGTTGCTTCTTCAACCAATTTATCTTGGAAACATTTCCGTCGACTGGTTTGTGATCCCATCCAATCCTTTTTGTTACTTTAATGTGTTGAGCTTTTGTGAAAGTATGCCCACTTGCAAAGTATCTCCTAAATCCTGTTAAAGCTGCTTGATGCCTGCAACTTAGTTAACTAATTTAGTCTATTTATACTGTAGGTCGAAGAGATTGTGTTGTTTTTAGTTAAAATGTATTCGTTCAAATATGATCAACAACATTATACACTTGGGACTGATTGTTGCTGAGTTAATTTAGGGTGCGGGATCTGAACATCACTATTTTCTGAATTCTTTAAAACTAGTAAAACTTTGAAAGCCATTTCCATATCATTATGGTACTAGAGGGGTTCTTGAGCCTTGCCTTTTAATAATCTGATTGAAATAGCCATATGCAGGAGAGGGTTTAAAAATGTCAAAGGTGGAATGTCATCTATTTAAGGAATAATGACTGAATAGCAGCAGTGTACACTAGGTGATGTTTGACACTGAGTATTCGTGATGATGGACCTTATTTATTTTTGTAAAGGTCAGGGTGCTCTTGATTTGACACTCTGCTTTTCAAATGTCAAGTAAGCACTGGCTGAGTGACCAAGAATTAATTTAGTTGTGCAATTATGCAGTTTATTTTCAACTGAAATATTCTTAATTCCTGTTTCTTATCAATTCTATTGGAAGCATTCACAGTTTGATAATTTGAGGTAGCTTATTCTTCACTTTAATATATTAAATTTATATATAGTAACCTTGATGATAAAGGTTAGGGAACATCGATGCACTGTATCGAGAGTTACTTCCTGTTGAGTTCAGTCCGTTTGCAAGCATGTAAACTGCAATTTATATTGTTGTTTGTAATACGCTTCAGTATTACTGGGTAACAAAAGGTCAAAGCATTTTGTCCTTCAGTTCATCAGGGCAATGACCGGGGGCATAGATTTAAAGGAAGGGTCCAAAGAATTAGAGCAGATGTGAGGAAAAACTTTTCCTCCCAGAGGATATTAGAAACCTGGAACTCACTGCTTGTGAGAGTGGTAGAAGCAGAAAACCTTGTAACATTTATGAAGTTGGACTAAAGATCTCTTTCTGTGCTGTATGACTCTATAAGTATTTAGATCTGCCAAGGCATACAAGGCTGTGGACTAAGTGCTGGAAAATGGGATTAGAATAGTTAGGTGGTTATTTTTGATTGGTACGGACATGATGGGCCGAATAACTTAATTACGTACCGCAGAGATATCTCTAATTCCTATTTGTAAGTATTCCAATGTAAATGGAGCAAAGTTTTATACTGTTTGAGAAGAGTACTGATAGGTTGGAGAGTGGACTCTGATTCATAGAGGCATTGCTATGGAAAATACAACACTGTCAAAACAGAGACCGACATTGAATGTAATTCAGTGATTGAGCAACATCTGAATGTTCTTGAATGTGCTAAGAATTAACTAACAACCAGTTTAAGATTCACTTGGGGTGCAGTGTAGCAAGCTTCCACATTATGAAAGCACACGTACATATGTAACGTAAAATAGACTACCTCCATTATCTGGGACATTGTTCAGGACAGTGTTATGGCCAAATAAACTTGTGTTTAAATTTAAACCAGATTTGGCAGTTAACTGAGATAACAAGGTGTAGAGCTGGATGAACACAGCAGGCCAAGCAGCATCAGAGGAGCAGGAAGGCTGACGTTTCAGGCCTAGACCCTTCCTCAG